TAAATTATGGTATATTTATATAATAGAAACTCAAGAAACTATCATTACACTTGACAACATGAATAACCCTTACAAAATTAATGTTGTGAGAAAGAAGCCAGACTCAGAAGAGTGTGTAATGTATGATCCCATCTACCTAAAGGTCAAAACTTAGGAAAATTAATCTCTGGTGTTAGAATTCAGGACAATGGTTACCTTTGGGCAGGAGTAAGAGGAAGAGATTTAAGAGAGAATCTGGGAGGTTTCTGAGTACTGGTAATTATTTTTTTTATCTGAATGGTGAATACAAGGGTGTGTACACTCATCTTTTGTGTTATCTTCTGAATATACTTTATACTTAAATAAAAACTTTAGAAGTTATCTAGGATTAAGAAACCACTGTTAGACTGAATTTGAGCACTGAGTTGATGCTTATCAACTCAATGAAGTCTCACCAGCAACGATAAACAGATCAGTCTTATTTACTTATTATATTTATTTTTAATCCGGTTTTAATTTTATAATAGGTTTAGATTTACAGAAAAGTTCCAGTGAATAGACTGACATTTACAAAAGAGTTGTAATGATAATACAGAGCTCCCATATATCACTCATCTAGTTTCCCTTTATTGTTAAAAGCTCATGTTACAATAGTATGTTTATTATAACTAAGAAACCAGTATTGGTATATTATTATTAAATGAATTCTACTCTTCATTCTAATTTCACTAGTTTTTCTACTAACCTTCATTTTCTGTTCCAGGATCTCATTCAAAATTAGATTTTTTGAAAAGATAAGCAAAATCAACAAACTTTTAGCCAGACTAAGAAAAAATGAGAAATGACCCAAATAAATAAAATCAGAGATAAAATAGGAGACATTACAACTGATACCAGAGGAATATAAAAATCAGAAGAAACTATTAGGAACAATGCTATGCCAACAAATTTGGTAACCCAGACAAAAGGGAAACATTTCTGGACACATACAACCTACCAATACTGAATCATGAAGCTATAGAAAATGTGAACAGATCAGTAACAAGTGGCGGATTGAACTAGTATAAAAGGTCTCCTATTAAAGAAAAGCCCAGGACATGTTGACTTTACTTCTATCAAACATTTAAATAACAATTTCTAATTCTTCTCAAACTCTTCCAAAAAATTGAAGAGGAGGAAATACTGCCAAGGTCCTTCTATGGGGCAGGCATTGCCCTGATAGCAAAATCAGGCAAGGACACAACAAAAATGAAAGCTTATAGGCCAGTACCCCTGATGAATATAAATGCAAAAATCTTCAACAAAAGAGATCACTGACCATGGTCAAGTAGGATTCATAGCAGACATGCAAGAATGATTCAACATAAAGCAAATTAATAAATGTGATACAACACTTTAACAGAATGAAGGACAAAAACCACATTGATCATTTCAATACAGGAAAAGCATTTGACACAATCCATTATTTTTCTCTGAAAAAAAGCTCAGTGAATTAGGTATAAAAGGAATGTACTTCAATACAATAAACGCCATATATGACAAGCCCACAACAGCTAATATACTGAATAGACAAAAGTTGAATGCTTTTCTTCTAAAAACTGGAACAAGACAAGGATGCCCACTTTCTCACTTCTATTTGACATAGTACTGGCAGTCCTAGCCAGAGCAGTTAGGTAAGAAAAAAAAATAAGGCATCGAAATTGTATAGAAGTTAAATGGTCCTTGTTTGCAGATGACAAGACCTTATATCTAGAAAACCCTAAATACTCCACTAAAAAAGCTGTTATAACTAATAAATTTAGTAAGTTTGCAGGACATAAAATCAACATACAAAAATCAGTAGCATTTCTATACACAAAAAGCACACTATTTGAAAAAGACATCAAGAAAACAATCCCACTTACAATGGCTACAAAAACAACCCATAAAATAAAATACTTAGGAATAAATTTAACCAAGGAAGTGAAAGATCTGTACACTCAAACTATAAAACCCTGATGAAAGAAATTAGAGAAGATGCAATAAATGGAAAGATATTCTGTGTTTATGGATTGGAGGAATAGTTAAAATGCCCATACCTACCCAAAGCAATCTACATATTCAGTGCAATCTCTAACAATATATCAGTGATGTTCTTCTCAGAAATAGAACAAAAAATCCTAAAATTTGTATGGAACCACAGAAAATCCTGGATAGAGAAAACAATGTTGAGCAAAAAGAACAAAACTGAAGTCATCACAATACTTCACTTCAAAATATTTTACAAAGCTATCACAATCGAAACAGCATGGTAGTGGCATAAAAATGGAAAAATTAACCAATGGAACAGAATATAGAGGCCAGATATAAAGCCACACATCTATGGTCAATTGTTTTTTAACAAAAGGTGCCAAGAACACACAATGGAGAAAGGACAGTCTGTTCAGTAATGTTGGGAAAAACTAATGTCCACATGCAGGAAAATAAAATTAGAAACTTATCTCTCACCATATAGAAAAGCCAACTCAAAATGGATTAAATGCTTAAATTTAAGACTCAAAACTATGAAACTTCTAGAAGAAAACATAGGGAAAAAGCTCCATGACATAAGTCTGGGCAAGATCTTATCTTTTTGGTTAAGATCTCAAACGCATAGGCAACAAAAGTGAAGACAGACAAATGGGATAACATCAAGCTAAAAAGCTTCTGCATAGCAAAAGAAAAAATCAAGTGAAGAGACAACCCACATAATGGGAGAAAATATTTGCAAACTATTTAATTAGCAAGGGATTAATAACCAGAATATTTTATATAAGGAGCTCAAACAACTCAATAGGAAAGCAAAAACAAAAACAAAAACAAATAATCCAATTTAAAAAATGGGCAAAAGATCTGAACAGGCATTTCTCAAAAGAAGACATACAAATGGCCAACAGGTATATGAAAAAATGCTCCGTATCACTAATCATCAGATAAATGCAAATCAAAACAATGAGCTGTATCACCCCAGCGAGAATGGCTTTTATCAAAAAAACAAAACAAAACAAAACAGGGAACAACAGATGCTGGTGAGAATGTGGAGAAAGGGGAACCACTGTGCACTGCTAGTGGAAATGCATATTACTAGAGCCACTGTGAAAAACTGTATGAAGATTCTTCAGAGAACTAAAAATAGAACTACTATATGATCCAGCAATTCCACTACTGGGTATAGATCCAACAGAAAGGACATACATATATCGAAGAGATATCTGCACTTCTATGTTTATTGCAGCACTATTTACAATAGCCAAGATTTAGGACCTAAGTGTCCATGCAGCAGATGAATGGATAAAGAAAATGGGGTACATATACACAATGGAATATTATTCAGCCATAAAACCCTCCACAAAACTCTTTTATTTGCAGCAACATGGATAGAACTGGAGGTCATTATGATGAGTGAAATAAGCCAAGCACGGAAAGACAAAGAATGCATGTTTTCACTCATATGTGGGAGTTTGGAAAGTGGATCTCAGAGACTGAGAAGTATTGCGGGGGGGCGGGCCGTGGGGGAATGAGGGGAGATAAACATACACTTAGAAGAAACATACACTTAGAAGAAATAAGACCTGGTGTTCCATAGATCAGTAGGATGACTATAGTTAACATTAATCGATAGTACATGTCAAAATAGCTAGAAGAGAATAATTTGAATGTTCCTAGCACAAAGAAAAGATAAATATTTAAGGGGATGAGTAACCCAGTTATGCTGATTACAGAAATGAATCAAATTATCAGGTGTACCATGAAAATATGTACAGCTATTGTGCATCAAAAAGTTGAAGAAAATAAAAATTTTAATTTTTTCATATACAATATATACTGCATATCATGTATTGATTCTGTTCATATATAAGTAAATATCCTTACTGTTTTGCCTCATTAGGAGCATTCAGACAGCAAATAATGTGTAGTTCAACATTTTACTAAATATTTTCCATCTTAGTGGGTATTTTGTAACAAGATAAATATGATGCAAACTAAAAAAAAGATGCCAAAGCCGGGCGTGGTGACTCACGCCTGTAATCCTAGCACTTTAGGAGGCTGAGGCGGGCGGATCACAAGGTCAGGAGATCAAGACCATCCTAGCCAATATGGTGAAACCTCGTCTCTACTAAAAATACAAAATATTAGCTGGGCGTGGTGGCGCGCCCTTGTAGTCCCAGCTACTCGGGAGGCTGAGGCAGAAGAATCTTGAACCTGGGAGGTGGAGGTTGCAGTGAGCCAAGATCGCGCCACTGCACTCCAGCCTGGCAACAGAGCGAGACTCCGTTAAAAAAAAAAAAAAAAGGCCATACTGAATCTACCAAAATAAATCAAAATGGAGTAAGAGAGACTGCCAGACCATCTTCTTCATGAGGGGTAATGGTCAGAGACTTCTGAACGTTGGTAGGGAAATGAGCCTGCAGGCAGGATTTGTACACAGGGCAGAGGAGGTTTGTAAACTAGGTGAATTATACCTTCAGAGCGCATATAATGTATATTATACTTTTCCTCTGCGTATGCGTTCCAGCCGTATTACCTATGTATCACCTGATCCACCAAGTCTAGACTGAAGAAGTCCTAGCAGGACTACACTACCCATGGAGAGTCAGTACTTGGAGGAGATTATTCCGAAGAGGATTTGTAGCCACTGCCCACTGTATATTACCTAGGCCCTTTACACTGGCCCCAGTGGAGCGGGAAAGCCAGCAGGAAGCTCCTCCCGCTGGCCTGGGAGCGGGCTGTCCATAGGACCCAAAGCACCTCCCACGGGAGAAACGCCCGGCTTTGCTTCTGGCCCCGCCCCGCGTTCCTCCAGGCC